GTGTGTGTGTGTTTGGATGGACCACCACAAAACAAAGCAAACCAAATGAAAAGTGAATAACGAAAAAAAAAAACAAACGACTCGGCAGAGAACATTGTTTATTTTAATTTTGGTTTTGATATGCGGATTTTTATCTATTTGAAAAGCAATTCAATGGAACATTGATTTGCCGCAAAATAATAAAAAAACGACCACATGCATACCAACACCATCATGTGGGCATAGCCAACACTCACTCACACACACACACACACTCTGAAATCTCTCCAAACAAATCAAACATTAGACCGATTTCAACAAGTAATAAAGTTGTATTGTTGTGGCTGGGAGAAAAAATTTCTGTTTGAATTTCCATTGAAATGTCTGTATGTTTTATTTAAATTCACACAAAATTAATGAAATAATAAAAAATTCCACAAAAATAAAAATCCCAAAACATACATAAATTTCATCAAATTGCAAATAACAAATCAATAAAACTTAATTATAATGTTTGTGCGAATATATTTAGCAGGCAGGGAAGAAAATAACAAACAAAAAATGCCGGCCACGGCGGAAGGCTGCAATCATCGATGGTGGCGGTAGCGCCCCCCGAAGAAAGACAGGGGAAGTTGCAAAAGAAACAGACATCTGTACTACATATCCACGTCACTGTTGACCAGCCAAATTTACTAGTTTATATTTAGAAAGTGATAATAGTGTTGAAATAGAATTGATTTCGTTTTTTTTTTTCAGCATTTGTCCAATAAATCAATTTAACAATTTAGAAAGTGTGAACCAAAAAATGTATGTTTAAAAATAAATTGTTCAACAATTGCTGGTATGCTATTCATATCCAAGGTCTGGCAATAAAACACAGTGGAAATTGTTTTTTATTTGAGTTTTTTGTGGAAAATTTCCACAATCATTAAATGGATTCCGGATAGGGGAAATATCTTGTTTTTTCTTTTTGCCACAGTAAAATAAATTTCATACACACTTTAAATATGTTGGTGTTGCATGCTTAGTTTTTGCTTATAAATAATCGGGATCTGCGAGGATCTGGTGGAATTTGAGGGTGGATTTAATTACAAGTAAAACATATACCAAGATCCAGTCTCTTTTGGTTCATAGGGACCATTACCTTGATATGGACTTTGATTACACTGTGCTACAACATTAAATTTTTCAATTAAAAAACAAAATTATAGGGGATTATGAAAATAGAGCTAAAATAGAGAGTGGACACGTTTATCGCCTTTTTGAAAGTTTACACTGCAAAGTAGCCTAAAGGGAGGGAGCAAGTCCCCACACAAATTGTTGGTTTAAGATTCCTCGGAATTCGTATATTTTAGACATGTGGTGTCTTCGGCAATATTGCTGATAAAATGCAAGGAATATTTTGGTTGAATATTTTAACCTTAAGGAGAGTCAAAAAAGGGATCTTTTTGGTCTTTTTTTGCAACAATTTATAAAAAATTCCCCTTAAACGGGATCCTATCAAGTCGAAATATTCTACATAATTATTTGTTATAGGTCTAAGAATGCACCAAAAATCTTAGCCTTACCTAAACGCCTGGAATTCATAAATATGTAAAACAAATTTTAGGGTTTTAGCCGTACTTCGTGTAAGAGTGTGTTAAATTATCCTATAAAACGTTTTTTTAAAAGGATGACGTCAAAGAGAAAACTATTTATCATCAAATTTCATTATAAGTCATGAAAGAAAATAAATTTATATTTCGGTCATAAATATTGAAAATATTTGCTATTTTTCGATACCATTTTTTGTGGCTTTTTCTCGAATTAATGAGAGCAAGTATCATAAAATGTTGTTTAAGGCAAACAGTGTCAAAGGAAGCCACAGTCTACCAAATTTCATTATAAATAACGGAATATACGAGCCTTTGGACCAGCCTTGCTCACAATATATGCATTAGTAGTGGTAATAAAAAAGAACAAGTAAAAAAGTTGCAAGTTCGGCCGGGTCGAACTTTGAATACTCTCAATCTTTTAAAACACATTTGGCAATTTTCAAAAAAAAAAAAAAAAAAAATACGTTAAAAATTCTGTTAAAATCCTAAAAATACCGTTATATTAGGGTATATAGGAATACGTGGATCTGCATAGGCAATTCCTGTCATAAGCCACTACAATATTCAAATCCGAAACTTGAAAAAAAAATCGGTAAATAATGTCGCTAAAATCACTAAAATATCGAATATTGGAAAGTACCGTTATATGGGGGCTATACGAAAACGTGAACCTGCATGGAAAAGTTTCTGTCTTAGGCTGTTGTATCCATTACGAACTTCGAATACCAAATTTGAAACAATTCCGGTGAATAATTTCGCCAAAATCATCAAAATACCGAATATCGTGATGTACCATTATATGGGGCCTATACGAAGACGTGAACCAGCACAGAGAATTTTTTGTCATAGGCTGTACGAGTTTCTAATACCAAATTTTAGACAATTCCGGTATACAATATCGCTAAAATCATTAAAATACCGTATATCGGGAGGTACCATTATATCGGGGCAATAGGAAGACGTGGACCTACACAGACAATTTTCTGTCATATGCTGAAGTATCCATTACGAACTTCAAATACCAAATTTGAAACAATTCCGGTAAAAATTTCGCAAAAATCATTAAAATACCGAATATAGGGAGGTACAGTTATATGGTGCTATACCAAAACCTAGACCTACATGGCCCATTTTCAATACCAAAAGTCCTGCAGACATAATGTACATTTGAGTACAGTTTTATCAACCTACTTCATTTCGTTTGGAAGAAAGAGAGATTTTCACAGACGGACGGAACATCGCTACATCGAAATAGAATTTTATGCTGATCAAGAATATATATACTATGTGGGGTCTAAAATATATACTTCGGGGTGTTTCAAACGGAATGACAAACTTAATATACCCTCCATACTATGGTAGAGGGTATAAAAACGAGAGAGAATACATGTCCTTTGTTTACACTCTTTCGTTCGAGCCATGGACACTTTTTGGGGGTTAATTACGAACGTACTCTCAAGGGCGTATCCTATGTGTTAGACGAATTACTTGTTTCTCAACCTGCCAAAAAATGAAGGCAGTAATTTTTTAGTTTTCGATGAAGAATAGTTTTTCTCGATTATTTTATGAATCTCATTTTTCGATATACATTAACACATATTATATGTAACGAGAGGAAGAGAGAGAGAAAAAGTTCTGTTATAGAGGCATAGAGGTACTGAACTCAGATTTGCTGGTTTTTACTGGCGAGACAATTATACTCACTAGCGGGAGTGCTCAAAATACGACTTTTACAATATTGTTATCAGAGATTGGCATCAATATTCATCAAAGTATTTGTATTTTTGCAGAAATTTGTTACATTTGCAGAAATTCACTTGAGATATAGCCTCCATTAATATGGGCTTTAAAGCGCTAACATATCCCTCCAAACACGATGAAAAAGAGAAGAGAAAAATACAAATACTTATAAATACAATAATAGCCTGACAGAAACTAAAAGAATACTCGGCAGGAGTAGCATCTGATCGATTTACTTCCACTCGACAATGAGCGAAGCGTACCCACCTTTACTCGAGTAGCATAGTATAAAAGAGAATAGATGATTTCTGATTTACTCTCAGGAATAGTCTCTCTCGAATTCGGGCGGATTTACTCTTTAATCGATCTAATCGAGCAAGCCTTTTGGAGTTGTAATTAGCACTGGTTGGTTTACTATGATCCAGAGTGAGGTATTTTCCTATTCCCTCAAATTGGTTCAGGTAAAGCCTCAACTCCAAATTTATTATTTGATACCAACTATAAATCTTTTTTAATATATCTCTTTGATTTTATGCTTTTTTTAAATTTCGGATATCAATACCCAATAAAATATTTTTTACCATTACATTTACTTACCCTTCTATGTCATATCCGGCATATTTTCAATTCCATTTCAGTTTTCATTTTTTTTTTTTTGCATTTCATTTATTAAAGATTTCCTTAAAATGAAATTTACTTTTTTCATAGATTTTATTGACTTATCATTCTTTTCTCTTTTTGTTTTGGTTTATCTTTTACATCTAAAATAATGAAAAAATTTCCTGTATTTTTGTGTTGTAGTTCTGGTTCAAAATTGTTGTATGGTATTTGTGTTACTGTTTTTTTCCATTTGTAATTATTTGTTTTATTTTATATTCTGTTCTTTTAAAGTGGTTTCTCTTTGGCTTAAATAACTAATACAAGTTAAAGTTTTATAAACATTCAACATTTATAAATATATGTTTCAATTACAGAATTGTAACTGGCTATTTGTTGTTGGGTATGTAAAAAAATTGAATTATTTTAAAATTAAAAAGCAAATAAGTTTCTGTTTTTTAATTATTTATTGACTCTGTATCTACAATAAAATCGTATAATGTATTTAGTTTTAAAAACGTTTAACGTTTTTTCCTTAGAGTTATCAAAATAAATATAGGAATATTTCCGGAATTTGCACACTTTGTTCTCCTAAAAAGTAAATTTGTATACAAAACAATTGGATTTTTGCATAAACCTATTTACTTTTTGTCATACATAGGAATTTTTGGTTTGGTCTTATTTTGACAACTCTAGATGTTTGTGTTTTTTTTTTTTCAGTTTTTTAATTCTTAAAATTATGTAATTAAAATTATTTTTTAAAAATTCTTTTGGCAACACAAATGTATATGTAGTTCTTAGAGGCTAAATACAAATATCATTGGTTTAGTAATTGTTATTAATTTCTTAGTTTTTTTATGTAAATTTAATTTATGGTAATGTGTACAAATTTACAAATTTAATTATTTTTTCTTAAGCTCTGTATGCATGTTAATGAATAATTATTTTTTTTTATCTTATATCATATGTTGCATTCTATAGTAATTTAGGGTATTTTAATTTTTTTTTTTCATTTTTGATATTTTACATAATTTTCAAAAATTAATACAATATTTAGTAGGGAATGTTTGAGAGCTGTATTTCAAATAAATATTTTTTTTTCTGTGTCCTTCAACTTTAGATATGTCCTGGAAACCCCAATAAAATTTTGGAGGACAGTTTTGAACAATTGCAGACTTTTAATCAAAAGTGTGGCCTTTAAAAATAACAGTACTTTTTTAAAAGCTCCGAATGATGGTCAAAGGGGGTTACTTTAAATGACAAAACTTCCCAAAGATCTTTTCATCAGTTGAAGAAAATATATTGACTATTGTATCCCAAAAAACTATAATTTTTTTTTATTTTATATTTTATTTTTGTGTTTTTCTTATTTTTTATTATTTATTTCCCTATTTTTATATAATATTGATCCATTTTGTCGATTCTATAAATCATTGTACATTGAAATTATGATTTTGTTCGGAAGTTGGTATTATTTGTTAAATTCGATAATTATTATATTTTGAGAAGATCGAGAACTTAGAAAAGCAAAAGAAAATATTTACTAAATATTTGGACCTACAACCAAAAAATTTTCTGAAATGAAAGTTAAATATTATTAAAAAATTATTTAATTAATTAAAACTTTTCTTTTCGGCAGTTGGTCCTTTTTTGAAGTAGGGGAAAAAATTCAGTTAATATCGAGAGTTCGTTAAACCCTTTTCTTGTCTAAATAAGTTCGCTTTCTTAACAAAATAGCCAAAAAAATATTGAAACTTACACAATGACCCAAATAGATTGCCCTTGAATCTCTAAAACTTGGTGGTTTATGGCCGGTGTATTAATACCTGTGAAAATGAGTATTTTTTTCAGATACGAACACAATTTCAGCTTATTCCACCATGAACCAAATATGCAGAGACATTCCTTAATTTGTAATTTTTACATCAAGACATGCAAAACGGATAGAAAATATGACAAATCTGGCAATCCCAAGAATGCAATTATGAAGTCTTGAGGCTCCGGGAGATGGCATAGTTTAATGTCCAAAAACTAACTTTTCCAAAAAAAATTGTACAAACAATTCTGAAAAATAAATAAATTCTAAATGTTAAACAGGCCAATGAGAATCCCAAAATTATAGATAATTTGGTTGGAAACTGTGACCAAACTCCTTGAAATACCGAAAATTAGAAGGCAACTGTATATGGTGTTATACCCAACTAGGGACCGATATAACTTAATACCTTGGAAGTAATAAAAACTTCTATGCCAATTTCACTTCTCTTGACAGAAGGATGGTCATATTATCATATCAATTAATAGTTTTAAAATGATTACGAATATATGTACTATATGGAGCCTCCAATGAATATTTCGAGGTATTGTGAGATTATTTCGTGAGAGTGAAAAAAATCCAGTTTCACATTGAAAAATTCCTCTACAAAGCCAGATTCTCAGAGAGTTTCAGATTTTCACATTAAAAAATGTTCGAATTCTAGTCAAGAGTGTAGTTCCTGAGAGTGCAGAAGAAAAAAAAGTTTCATATTAAAAAAAATGCTCAAATTCTAGTCAAGAGTGTAACTTCTGAGAGTGAAAAGGAAAATCCAGTCTACGTCATTCGAATATGAACGAGGTTGCTACGCTCGATTTTGAACAGGATAGAATTGAGCTCGAAATCGAAAAAAATTTTGGGTTTTGTCATACCGTTATTATATTTGAAAAAGTGTGGATTTGTTCAACCTAAAACTGCAACAGATACAAAAACAAAATTTCATTGTTGCCAATCTTGGTAGAGGCATATGGATAGTGTGGTTGCTTTTCTTATTTTATACGTTTCAGTGAACAGAATAACTTTTTCCGCTCTATTCCAAACTTAAAATAAACTATAACTTAATTTCAATCATTTTTAAAGTACTCGTCAACAATCCCAAATAAAAGAGTGGAGAGTAAGCTCGTCATCAACGAGCGCTCCTACTTTCGGAGCAATGAACGTGAATGCCAGCTTTTTAATACCTGAAATGTTTTTTATTTTTTTATTTACTATTATTATTATTTTTTTTTTTTTTTTTTTGAGGACCCTATATATTTCTGAAATTTAAACCACTTTTCTGTTTCTGTACTTTGTGGGCCAAATAGTTCTATTAGGACGAATTTCATGCAAAAAATTGTGAAAACTCAGGTAGGTAAATTTGTCTCTCAAAACGATTTTTTAATTCAATCCAAAGACAATTTAATACGACCACACCGGAGGCGGATTCTTAAAATTGCCTTCTCTGTCAAATATTTTTTCTATAAATCTATCATAAAAAAAATTAAGAGGTATTTCTCCAAAAAAACGTATCCTTTGTAATGACTTTTCTCTCTGTAAGAACGAAAATATTTAAGTCCTTAAAGTTTTTAAATTGTTGAAATTCTTAAATTTTCCTAAATACTTCCATATAAAACTTTATTTCTGTTATATATACCATTTCTTAATGAAGTCATTATACGCTGATAAAAAAATAGGTTCTATTTTATCGTTCCAAATTTGAACTAAAAATTAAAGATCCTCTATGATCCTCTGAGAAATACCTATCTCTTTCAGGGATATATTCATATACTTAAGACAATTCTGAATTAAAAATTCTTCCATTTGCATAAACTATACTCCCAAGAGACGCTTCTCACCTATTAAAAAATACCACTGGTTCAATATTACACAACGCAAGGCTGGCTTTATTATCAATTGGTTAAAATCCAAGAAAATCGTACTTCTAATTGGTTTTCCTTGTTAAAATAAAAACAATCTCCCCCAATACTTATCAATTACAAAAATAAAAACACTAATAAAATCCTTAAATTTACAAAGTTTTTCTCCTTTCTAATAATATCAACATCTAAACTTACCAGAAAAAAAACTATACAATTTTCAGATAATATAGAAAATTTGTTTCTCCAAACTTACAAAACTATTATTTTTTGGCAATAAGACTAGCACGTTTTTTTTTTTTCTAAACAAAAAAGTGTTGAGGTTTTGAACCCAATTTTATAAATTAATTTGATCTTTGAACTTACAACTATTCCTCAGTTTCTAGGACACTATCTAAGCCTACAGCTACTACCATGTGATGCTGATGATATGGATGATGGTGGTGATGATACTGATGCTGATGATGTGAATTCTGATGATGCTGATGCCCCAGCCTATGCTATAGAACATTATTCGACTGCAATAAAACAATACATTCCCGAACTCTAGTCTTACGCCTTTCTTATAAGTCGGTGTGTAACACTGGAGGCTTGTCAACAGCCCCCTCCGAACATTCCGAGAGATTATCAAGGTTGGAGTTTTCAGTACAAACACTACTAGGCCCTGGCATTAAGAGATTTGAATTCTGAGAGTTACACGACGAGCCTAGTTTGGGTGGTGCCAGGAAATTATTATTGGCCAACTGTTGTTGGCACGGCACCACCGAACTATTCGCCTCCAGGGTTGTCACATTCGTGTGACCTGTGGTGGTGGTGGCTGTTGTCGAATTCATGCCAGCCCTTTGGCGAAATGAAGCCCTCTGCTTCGCCTTATTAGGGGCCAAAAGCTTTTCGGCATTTTTCGATTTACTGAAACGCGGAAACATGCTATTCTCCAGCTGAAGCTGGGCATTGACATCCTTGCGGGCCGCACAGGTGCATGCCTTCATAAATGACTTCTTAAAGTTGTCCGACAGAAAGGCATAGAGTATGGGATTCATGGCCGAGTTCGAGTAGACCAGACAGCTGGCCAACAGAAAGATGGTTATCTCCAGACGTGAGACGCATTTGCCCGGTGTCGAGGTTATCAAGGCCACCTGGGATATCCAATAGGGTAGCCAACACAGGATATATACGGTAATCACTGTCAGTACCAGCTTTGTCACCTTGCGATGGGACCGCTTCTTCTCTTTGGACTTGTGCTTGGGACCAACTGTGTGCAACTTCCGTATGACCAAGCAGTAGAAGCCCAAAATGAATGTCAGCGGGGTGGCAAAGCCCAGGGCCAGTGAGTACAGTATAAATGTGGTACCCGATTGGGTATTCTGGGCTTCCGGCCATTTGATATTGCACGACGTGTGCTTGCCGTTCGTCACCGTGTTGGCAAACAGAATGACGGGCAGCATCAGCAGGGCCGACGTCAGCCAGGCAATGCCAGACACGATTTTCGACACTGTCGGAGTTCTATAGCGCGGCGACGATATGGGATGGCAGACCGCAATGTAGCGGTCGGCCGACATGATGAGCAAGAAAATTGATGACGTAAACTGGGTTATCGACGTACTCACCATGTAGGCCTTGCAGGCGTACTCACCAAACTGCCAGCTGTTGTTGTGCATGGTGTACAGCAGGAAGGGTATGCCGATGAGGAAGCACTCATCCGCAATGGCCAAGTTGAGTATGTATATGTTTGTGACGGTTTGCATTTTGGAAAACCTCAAGACTACATATATCACCAGAGTGTTGCCAAATAAGCCTACAATACAGACTAGCGAATAGAGAATCATAGTTATTAATTTAATGACGGCATTCTGGGGCGAGCCGCACGAGTCGTCATCGCCATAGTCTAACGAGTCATTTGTGTTCGAGAGATTGAAGCTATTCATGGCAGCAATGAAGCTGGCATTGTAACGGCGCATCCACTCATTCTGATCCCATTCGTAAAGTTGTAGCGTGGGTTTCAAATGCTTTTCAAGATTTGATGCTTGAGCTTGATTGGAATCCGAATCGCCAGCCATGTTGGCAACGTCAGACCATTTGGTTATATCATTTGTATCCTTGTTATCATTTCGGTTGTTTGTCGGACGTTGGTCCAGTCCGGTGCGTTTTTGTGGCAACATTAGGGAGGGAGGTGAATTATCATTAGTAAGTCCTTGTTGCTCATCTTTCAATTCCTGTTGTTGTTGCTGCAAACTCAAGTGGGGTAGTAAGCTCATTAGTAATATACTTAAATATAAATTCATGGTTACTGTTGTATTTTATCTGCTCCTGCTTCTCTTGTTATTATTTTTGTTGCTATGTAATATATGCTTAAGTTATTCTAGCAAAAAAAATAAATATTCCAACATTCGAGGTGCAAATACTTCGTTTTTTCCTTGCCCTTCCTTGGCTCTTTGGTTTTTCTAGTTGTAATACTAATAGTGATGATGGTGGTTGTGGTGTTGGCGATAATGATGTTGGTTGGTTGGTTGCTTGGTTGGCTGTTAGTTGTGGTCGTCGTCCTCGTCTGTTCCACTGCCCTCCTCAAGTATTACTTAGTATATATTTTGGCCAGCTTTTGTCATTGCTTTGTGGTAATAACCTCATTTTTTGTGCTCCTTTGTTATCTACTTCAACTACCGACTGAATGCTGTAAGTGAAAGAGAGGGAGAGAGAGAGGAAAAAGAAAATAATTAGATAAGTAACAAGCGCAATAGAATGTAAGGAAATACATAAGGAGAGACTTAGATGTGTAGTCAAGCGAAGAAGTACACTACAGCCTGCAATTTTTCCAGCTAATTTTTGGAATAAAGGACGTGGAATTTTAAAGGGCTCTTGAGGCTATACGTGGGCATTCGTAAGGACTTACCAGAGCTTCTTTAAAGGACCATCTCCCCACTACATGTGAGGAATTATTAACGACCACTAGGGCTTTACATTGGGATTTATTAAGGAAAATCAAACTTATGTACGTGGATCCGTTAAATCCTTTCAGCCATATATGAGGATATTGTAACGACTGGCAGGACTGCACTTGGAACTTTTAAGGACAGTCAGAGGTAGATATCTGGATTTTAAAGGACATTAATTATTTTTAAAGTACTATCGGGGGATTTTAATGGCTATCAGAAGCCTCGAAGTACTAACAAGGCTATATACATTGATGTTTGAAGAACTATCAACTCAATACATGCATTGATTTTATCAAGGTTTCTGATAAGGACTATCGCAAAGACTATATTTACAAGAAGCTATTAAGGCCTACAGGGTCGATAAAATGAAATCTATTAAGGTCTATAAAAGCTATAGACGTGGGGCGTTTTTCAGAATTATGAGGGAGATTTTTAACGGCAATCTACTTGAATGTTTAAGGACTAAAAGGGCTATATAGGAATATTTTAAGGACCATAAGGACTGTAGATGAAATTATTTTAGGGGCTCCCTAAAGACTATCAGGGCTATATGTGGAGATATTTGAAAACAATATCGGAGCTATATTCCTGTATCTTTTAAGGATTCTCATACCTGGATTTTCTACGGACCGTTGTCGCGAAAGTAATAAGGACTATGAGGGTCCTTCGACTTTAGACTTTCTGCACATGAATTTCTTCTAAGGCTCCTTGGAGTTGGAGTTGGGCTCCCTAAAGACTATCAGGGCTATATGTGGAGATATTTGAAAAAAAATATCAGAGCTATTTTCCTGGATCTTTTAAGGATTCTCATACCTGGATTTTCTATGGACATTTGTCACGAACATTATAAGGATTGGCAGAGTCCTTCGACTTATAGAATTTCTGTACATTAATTTCTTCTAAGGCTCCTTGGAGTTCTAAGTCCTATAACTGCACATGAAGGCTTTGAATAAATACCAATAATTGCCAGAGATGAATATGAGATTTTTAAGGGCAATATACGTCAATTTGAGGACTTAAAAGTTTATATAGAAATATTTTAAGGACCATAAGGACTACACATGAAAGTATTTTAGGGACTGCCAAAGAAGCACATGAGAATCTTCCTAAGACTATCAGGGCTATATGTAGGGATATTTGAAAATATGTCAGAGCTACGTTCCTGGCCCTTTTAAGGATTCTCATACCTGTCTTTTCTACTGACAGTTGTAGTGAGCATTATAAGGACTCTCAGGGTCCTTCGACTTATAGACTTTCTGTACATGAATTTCTCTAAGGCACCTTGGAGTCCTTAGTTCTATGAGAGCATGCGGAGGCTTTAAATAATTACCAAAAATTGTCAGAGATACACATGAGAATCTTCCAAGGAATATCAGGGCTATATGTGGAGATATATAAAGGAATATCAGAGCTATATGCCTGGGTCTTTTAAGGACTCTCAGGGCTTCATACTTGGATTTTCTGCGGATAGTTGTCGTGAACATTATAAGGACGGCCAAAGTCCTTCGACTTATAGATTTTCTGTACATTACAAGAATTTTCTCTAAGGACTGCAAGGAGATCCTATAAAGGCATACCGGGACTTTGAATAATTACTAATAGTTGTCAGAGATGTACTTGAGAATCTTCCAAGGACTATCAGGGCTATATGTTGAGATATATAAAGGAATATCAAAGCTATATACCTGGGTCTTTTAAGGACTTTCAGGGCTTCATACTTTTTTACGGACAGTCGTCGTGAACTCTCTAATTACTATCAGAGTCCTTCGACTCGTAGACTTTCTGTACATTACAAGAATTTCTCTAAGGACTGAAGGAGATCCTATAAAGGCATACCAGGCTTTGGATATTTTTCAATAATCGGCAGAGTTATATGTGGAGATATTTTTGAAGTAACATCAGAGCTATATACCTGGATCTTTTAAGGACTCGCAGGAGTCCATACTTGGATTTTTTATTATAAGGACTGTCAGAGTCATTCGAATTATAGACTTTCTGTACGTTACAAGTATTTCCTGGAAGGAGATCCTATAAGGGTATGCAAGGAGATCATATAAGGGTATACCGGGGTTTTAATTATTTCCAATAATCGCCAGGGCTATATGTGGAGAAATATAAAGGAATATCAGAACTATATACATGGGTCTTTAAAGCACTCTCAGGGCTTCATACTTTGATTTTCTAAGTACCTATTACCTATAATTGCCAGTGCTGCACATCAGAATCTTCTATGGACTATCAGCGCTATATATGGAATATAAGAGCAATATGCCTGGGTCTTTTAAGGACTCTCAGAGCTTCATACTTGGATTTTCAAAGGACAGTTGTTGTGAAAATGTTAAGGAATGTCAGAAACCTTCGACTTTTAGACTTTCTCTTCTTTATAGGAAATTCTTCTAAGGACACTGAAAAGATCCATTAAGGGCATACGAGGACTTTGAGTAATTACCATAGCTGCATTTTGGAATTATAATGGACATATTAAGGATTTTACGGACATCTTAGGGATAATAAGGCATGCATTATGAATCTTGAAAGACTATCCCTGAAAATGTGAACATTTTAAGGACAATGATTTTAAGGACATTTTAAGGACTAGCATGAATCCATCCTTGAAGGACTATCTGGTCCATACATTATGTTATTCTGATGACTACCAGAGCTTCATGAGAAAATCCTTCAAGAGCATGCGTAGACTTTTAAGAACTATTAGGTCTAGATGTGGGAACTTTAATGGACATTTTAAGGAGGCTTAAAATTTTGAGTCCTTGAATGCCTGTCAGAGCTACAAATATAGGTATTTAAATCACTATCAAGGTAAATAATTGAATCTCTCAAGGACTTTAATCGTGAACATTTAAAGACTATCGAGGATATCTATGCGATCGTTTGAAGGAATATCTGAGTTATATACGAAGTCCTCTAAGGAGCTATTGGAACTACACATAATGATCTTTTGTGGCCCATTGAGCCAATATACGATGATCTTCTAAGCATTATCGAGACCACATGTATGGGCTGCTTATGGTCTTCCAAGTCGTCCTTAATACAGGAATCTGTAAAGGACTTGCATGGCTATCTACGCCGTTCCTTTAACGTCATTTTCGTGAATATTTCTTGAACTGCCAAGGTTGAGTCCTGAACCATAAATATGAATCTTTCAAGGACTATCAGATATTGTAAATGCAATTTGATCCTTATGGATCCTTAAAAGGTAACACACGAGGTTCTTCTAAAGGCTTTTAGAGCTACATATGCCGTTCTATGATGTCTATTAAGTCTTCAAATGTGGACCTCTGCAAATTTTATGAAAATTATGGTAAAATCTTGAAAATATGGACATGGTCCGATTTTTTCCCCTGTACGCTCTCTCTCACTCTGACTCTCTTATTTTATAGAAATTTGCTTGCTTACTTGCGGAGTTAAATCCCGGATGACACAACCAAAAATGTTGATATGAGTACGGATTTTGGAATAACATCCATGCAAGTGTACCGCCCAACTATATACATGTTTTTAATCGGGTTTGGCTTGCAATCAAAGATTCCTAGTGTACCGAATTTAACATAAATTCGGACCATACTAATTGATTTCGAAATTGAAATATTATCACATTCCAATACACCCCAGAATTTTCGATACTTAATATTTGGAAGGAAGTGCGTATACGTATTGACAATACTTATACGCACCCTTCAACTCAATTTCCCTTAACTTTGCTTTCAAATAGCATTACTCTAAATGATTTCCTTAAACCTTAATTGAATTGGGACTCACATGACAACCATCTGTCACCATAGATTGACCTAAGTTAACATCTCCCAAAGCCTTTGACGAAGGGTGTTTCTGTGCCAATACACCAGCTTATAAAAGTCAGGGCAAAATTATACAACAGCAAAGCTAAGAGAAAGGTGTCACTGGAGACAATTACTGCATATATATGGCCACAATCACACTCAAGCTCATTTGGCTAAGGAAATTGTGACCTAATAAGTGGTTGTGGTATTCAATATTTTACCACTTCTCTGCGCCAAAAGGAAAAAAAGAAAACGAGAGGCAATAGAAAATTTACTACTCGTGCGGAACTATGAATTGGCCAATAATCATGATTTATGTGAGCTACGTGTCCATTCAATGTTTGAAGAAAGTATCAATATATTGCCCATGTTCATGTCCATGCTTGCTGCCATCCAGCTGGTGTAGAAACTTTTCTTGCGGCCTGACATCCATCAAGTTTTGCTTAACAAATGATTCATTCCGTGCTGTTGGCAAAACTTTGAACTTCATGCCGATTGAAGAAAACCCCATCAAATGTTTCAAAATGAGTCTTTGCTTGTGACTGCAACAATCAAATGTCAAATGAAATCAGGCATGACAGACAAACCAAAACAAAAAAAAGGAAGCGACTACGACATATGAAAACACCATTTACATGTATGGTTGGGTAGCTTTGTCAATCACCATGGTTTTTTGTTGAGTGTGCCTATGTGTGGGTAAGTGTTTAAGTGGACAGTTATTTGGAAAAATAGTGTGAACCCTAAAAACTTCAAGGATTATTTGGGTAATTTAACATCGAATGACTAACTTAAGTGCTGAAAGTGGATTAATACCTCAAATTTACAAGGGTTAATGGGGTATAAGAGACACTTAGGGTTTATAAATGACCTCTTTTTTGGAAAAAATCCGAAAATTGTAAACATAAAACATTTAAAGCCAATTTTTTAAATTGCTTTAATGG